ACTTCTTGTCACTATAGATGCACCCATTCTGGACATTTCACATAAATAGAAATCATATGGTTTATGGTCTTCTGTGACTGTCTTTTTTCACTTGGCACGATGATTTTCACATTTATCATGTTGCAGTGTGTATTATTAGTACAATGTGTAGTATTCCTTTTTATGGGCAAATAATATTCAATTATAGAGATACTTCACATGTTGTTTATCCATTTATCAACTGAAAGACATTTGAGGAGGTTTTCTTGTGGCTATTAAATATAATACTGTTACCATTTATGTACAAGTTTACTTTTTGTGTTTTTTTTAATCAACTGACTTTAATATCCACATTTACAAGTTCTTGTGTGATATATGCTTTCATTTTTCTTGGGTGTATACTTAGGAGTGAAACTGCTAGAGCATATGGTAACTCTATGTTTAACATTTTGAAGAACTGCCAAACTTTTCCACAGAGGCTAAACACTTTATATTCCCACAGCAACGTATGAGGGATCCAAATTCTCCAAATCTTGCCAACACTTGCTATTATCTTTTTGGTTATAGCCATCCTAGTTAAGTTGTATTCATTGCGGTTTATTTTGCATTTTCTTCAAGATAGTAAACATCTTTTCCTGGGCTTATTGGTCATTTATATATCTTCTTTGAAGAAATATCTATTCAGATCATTTGCTAATTTCTACTGGCCTATCTTTTATTATTCAGTTGTAAGAGTTCTTTATATATTCTACATATCAGCCCATTATCAGATATGTGATTTGCAAATATTTTCTCCCACTTTGTAGGCTGTCTTTTCACTTTCTTGATGGTACCATTTGTAGCACAAAACTTTTTAATCTCAATGAAGCCCAACTTATCTATTTCTTTCCTTTTGTCACTTGTGTTTTTGGTGTCATATCTAAGAAACCATTTCCTAACCAAAGATCATGAATATTCACTCCTATATTTTTTCTAAAAGTTTAATAGTTTTAGCTCTTATGTTTTGGTCTACGATCAATTATGAGTTATAATAATTGTTGTGTAGGTATAAGGGAAGGCTCCCTCTTTATTCTTTTGCGTGTGTATATCCAGTTGTCCGAACACCATTTGTTGAAAAGACTGTTCTTTCAGCCACGGAATTGTCTTGGAACCCCTGTCAAAATTCAACTGACCATAAATGTAAGAGTTAACTTCTAGACTCCCAATTGTATTCCACTAATTTCTATGCCTATCCTTAGGCCAGCACCACACATCTTGATTACTGTAGCTTTGTAGTAAGTTTTGAAATTGGAAAGTGTGAGTCCGCCAACTTTGTTCTTTTTTTTCAAGATTGTTTTGGCTACTCTGGACTCCTACATTTCCAACAAATCTTAGGATCAGCTTGTCAACGTCTGCAAAAAAGGCAACAGGGATTTGAAGGGGATTATGATGAATCTTTAGATCAATTTGGGGAATAATGTCATCTTAACAATACTAAGTCTTCTAATCCATGAACATGGGATAGCTTTCCATTTATTTAGTCTTTAATTTCTTTCAGCAATGTTTATAATTTTCATTGTACAAGCTTTCACCTCCTTGGTTAAATTTATTACTAGGTATTTTTTCATTTGGATACTACTGTAAATGGAATTATTTTCCTAATTTCCTTTTCAGATCATTGCTGGTAAACAGAAAGACAACTGATTTTTGTGTATTCATTTTGTATGCTGAATTTGTTTATTAGCTCTAGTAGTTTTGGTGGTTTCTTTGGTACTTTCTATATATAGGATCATGTCAAATGCAAATAAAAGATAGTTTTAATTTTTTCCAATTTAGATGTCTTTTATTTCTTTTTCTTGCCTAATGCCCTGACTAGAACCTCCAGTACAATGCTGAATCGAAATGGCAAGAGCAGACATCCTCATCTTATTCCTAGTCTTAGGGGAAAGTATTCAGTCTTTGGCCATTGAGTATGATGTTAACTTGTGGGTTTTCATAGATATTTCTACCAGATGAGGAAGTTCCCTTCTATTCTTAGTTTGTTGAGTATTTTTATCATGAAAATATGTTAAATGCTTTTGTTGTATTTATTGAGATGATCATGTGGTTTTTGTCCTTATTCTATTGATATGGTATATTACATTAATTGATTTTTTATGCTAAACTAACCTTGCATTCCTGGCTAAATCCCACTTGGTCATGGTAAATAATCCTGTTTATGTGTTGCTGGATTGAGTTTGTTAGTATTTCCTGTCAACATTCATAAGAAATATTGGTCTGTAATTTTCTTTCTTTGTGATGTTTTAGTCTGGTTTTGGTATTAGGATGATACTAGATTCCCTCCTTCTTCAAACATTTTTTTACATGAAACCTGGAAAATCATTCGTCCTTTATTCTGTCTTACATCACTGGCTGGTCCTTCTTCATCACCTTTGCTGGCTCCTTCCTATCTCCCAGCTTATAAATGTCTGAATGTTCTAGGATGCAGGCTTAGAATCTCTTCTCTTTTTCTGTCTACTTTCATTTCCTAGGTAATACCATTCAGTCTCATGGTATTACATACAATCTATATGCTCTCAATTTATACCTTCAGCATAGACCTTCCCATGAACTCCAAAATATATATACACACACACACACAAAACTATAATACCTCCCCAACAACTCCACATTAATGTGGCAGATGTATCACAAACTTCACTATTTTGAAATAAAAATTGTTATAGCAAACACAGGTCCATGGGGTAGGAAAGGGCAATATAACCAAAACTGAGTTCCTGATTTCTCCTCCAAACTATCTTCTCTCAGTTTTTTCCTATCTCAGTAAATAGCAACTTCCTCCTTCTAACTGTTCAAGCCAAAACCTTAAAATTCATCCTTGACTACTCTCATTCAACATGCCACAAACAATCCACCAGCAAATCCTGTCAGCTCAACCTTCAACATAAACCTAGAATCTAACCACTTCTCCCTCTGAAACCACCCTAGACCAAGCTACAACCAATCTCTTACCTGGATCATCACTAGAGTCTTTTAACTGGTCTCCCTTTGCCACCTTGCCCCTCATTCTCTAGTGTCTATTTCCAATACAGCTATCAGAGTGATCCTTTCAAAACATTAATCCAATCATGTTACTCCTCTGTTCAAAACCCTCTAGTGGTTTCCCATCTCAGTCACAGCAAAGTGATAGAGTGGCCTACAAGGTACCATAGGATGTGGCCTCCCATCACCTCTGACCTCCTCTCCTATCACTCTTTCTGCCTACTATCCCGAGGGACACTGGCTTCTTTGATGATCCTGGAACATGCCAGCCTCTGCTTTGCCTCACAGCCTTTGTACTTACAATCCCCTTTGTCCCCAACACTCTCCCCCCAGATTTCTACATGGCTCTGTTAGTCACTTCCTCAGCTCTCTGCTATCACCTTATCTCCTGAACATCCTAAATAATGACAGTAAACATCACTTCTCTACCCTAGCATTTGCTTTCACCATACCCAGTTTTACCATTCTCTACTATGCTTGTCACAACATATCTCCCTGTTTCATCCTACCTACCTAAGCTAGAATTATTAGAGTAGGAGACTAGGAGACAGGGCTGAGACCTAATGCAGGGGTTTGAAGACTGGGTGCAGGTGTTGAAGTAAACAACCCTTAAATAAAAGGGCTGGTAACCACAGGCAAGAACAGGCTTCAACTGGCTTGTCAGCTATCTCTGCTATCTTAAATGAACTTTAGCTAATTATAATATCATTTACCTTATGGTTTTAAAATTTCTGTCTTTAAAATCACCATGATAGTTCCAAGACAACAATATAAAATATGAAAATGTGAGGGAACCCAATTTTAGGAATTACTACCCAAATTCTTAGCAAAAGCCAATCGCTTGGCCTTGAATATTCCTCCTCTCAATTAGGAAGACTACAAAAGATCTGAAACCACTACCTCTCAGGGCAGCTGCTCTTTTCAGGCCTGTCCACTCTCTCTTCGAGCCTGCCTGCTCTTCTCCCTGAAAGTGTACTTTCACTTTCATTAAAGCTTTCATTTGCTTGCCTTAAGCAGTGAGTCCTGAAATTCTTTTCCGTGAGGAACACCAAGAACTTGGAAAAACCTCCACTCAGAGGCTGGTAACAGAATGAATGCTCACAAGGGCAGGAACTGTGTTTCCTTCTAGCCTCTAACAGAGCCCCAAGAGAACTTTCTGTGATGATGGAAATGTTCTATATTTGCAATGCCCAATATAGTAGCTATTCATACACATGGCTACTTAGCACTTCAAATATGACTTGTGTGACTGAAGAGCTAAACTTTATTTTATTCTATTTAAATTCATCAAAATTTAAACTTAAATAGTTATTACATAGCTACTACACTGGACAGCACAGCCTAGAACAGTAGTTAATAAATATACAGTAGGTAACTCAAATATTTGTTGAATGAATGAATGGAAGGAAAAAAGAAAGCTGAAGGCTTTTCTGTAACTTTTTATTACAGAAATTTTCAAACATCCAAAACAGTAAACAATAGCAAAATGAACCCTCCTGTACCCATCACCCACCTGAAGGCTCTTCTAACTTGAAATAAGTTTCCATAGATACTAGTATCTCAGTTTGGCTTCCAACAATGACTACATTCTTGGAAAAGTGGGAATTTATATTATATCCAGAGTTTATATCAATACCATCTCTAAAGGCCTTTTATAAGTTATAGAGAAATTACTTTAGGAATTATATCAGGTATATGTTGAGGGATAAACCCATATGCTAATGAATGCTTGAGGTATACTTGTTATAAGAAAACACTAAAGAACTACATACATGTTATTATATCAATAACCCAATTGATCTCTTGACCAATTATTTTCTTTGTCTAAGTTTTAGTAAAGTCACACTCTTAATCTTGTGACTTCACAGAATTAGAGAGACCTTCACTCATTAGATAACACAAATTCCTTGGGCAGGAATTTTTGTCTTCTTAGCTGTTATAAACCTAGCATCTGACACAATAAATGTTAACAGAATAAAGTTAACAGAATAAAGTTCATAATTGCATGAAAGTGATACATATGAATTGTCAGAGCATAAATAGATATAGGCACTAGATCTCCAAAATTCCCTAAACAGATATAGATTTGAAAAGGAAATTCTCAAATGGATTTTCAAACTTGACCAATCAAAAGGCAGTAAGTATAATATGCTAGAAAGAAAATCAAACTGGAAGCAAGAATACTTGAGTTTCAATGTCCTAACTCGCTAAGTGGGGTGATCTTATACCAGTCATGTACTTCCTCTAGGCTCCAATTTCCTCACTTGTGAAAAGACAGTTTGGACTTGATGGTGCCAAAGATATTATCCAACTCTAAAACAGTTATGTTCTATTCTAGATCCACAATGCACACACATTTTTGAAGATGCCTATTAACTTCGCCTTCCCTTGCTAAATCATTTTCCCTATAAATTACTTTAAAGGGACAATACATTAAATATGATCTAATATCAAGACATCACGCCTACTTTAGTGAAGAGGTAGTGCTCCCCATTTCTTGAGGAGTGCAAAATTCTTCACTTGGGGCTACTGAAATACTGCTGGAATCCTATGTTGAATTAACACTCAGACAGCTGACACTGGGCTTATTAGTACAAAAAAAAGAGGCAATTATGGCCACGTTTGCCTAATAAACTCTCAGGGTACCACTTGTGTCTGAAAGTTTCTTCAATGGTTCTAAGCCAATTTTTTTCTCTTTCCTAGATAGCCCCACATAAGGTACTGTTTTGAGGCTTTGTGCTGAGGTTTTACCTTTTGTTAAATCAAGTAGTAGTACTAACATCATGTTCCAATGATATTTAAAGCAAGGAAACCCAAGAATTTAGGGTCCATCATGTGCGCCTTAGCCTGACGCTATTGTTTGATAAAAATGTCTGGAGCTTGTATTTATTATAAAATGTGGCGTTTGGCCTCCTGTTCTGTGTAGCCTCCACAATTGTGAGCCCAAGCTAGCAATCAAATGCCAATACTGATGCCATGTTTGGGTCTAAACACTGACAAGTATATAACTGTAGCACTGCCAACAAAAAGTGTCTTAAGAAGGCAGCAGAGAAACCACCATGTAGCTCAAATAAAATCTTTACACATGGTACACAAAATAATCTTGTAGTTATTAAAACTGGAATTTAATTGGACATTTGGTTTGGGTTTTTTTTAAACACCATTACTATGACCCCCCCAAAATGAACTGAGTATTTCAGGCAATAGCTTCAATCATAATTTCAATTTTAAAGTTTATGCACTTCGTACATATGTTCTCTCTAAAGTCACCATAAAGGTCTATGTGTATTAAGTTTCATCAACCTTTTAAGAAACACTATCCAGATCTCAAATAACAGCAACAATTTGAAAGCAAAACTAAGAACAAAATACTACACTGAACAGAAGACATCTATTTTCCAATAACTCGTTAATAACAGTAAGTTCAAATCAAACTTTAAAACATGTTATTAACCATCAACTGAACCACTGGAAAGATATATGCCAACAGAAAGAATATTGTATTGCCATTAACATAGGGTAGCTTGAGGCATCCCTTCTTATTTACACTAAGATCTAAATGTATATGATTAAAGCCACCACATCAACCGTCCATATTAATCACTCAACAACTTAATTAAAGTAAACCATCTTGTCAGATAGCTTGCCTCTTCTCTATTTCTCAACATTATCAACTTTTAATAGTTCACTGAATTAGTAATTACTTGCTTATGGCATTATCAACTGTCTTAGATACAAAAGTCCAGCATGTGGCAAGGTCAGTTATAGACATGTCCTGATGGCAAATGAAAGGAGAAATTTAACCCATCAAAGTGGTCATCAAAAGAGCAAAACCTATTACGCCTTTCTCTATACACTCCTGGCTAGATTCAAAGTGACAGAACAAACCAGATCAAAACTAAACAGAACTAGAAGCAACATACAAAATCCTAATAAACCTTTAGAAATCCAGGTATTGATCCGTCAACATCTAAGCTCAATTAGTCCTTTCAGAACAATATATTCCATGAAGTGACAAGAAACTAGTTTGAGGTCTGGGATATGAAAAGAATAAAACCAGTCACTTTATATAGCCTATTGCTAAGTGCAGTCACATCACTTGTGAGGATCTTGTGAGGATTAAATACAGATGTATGTCAAGCACCTATCAACTTAGTCCAGGAGCTGGCACGTTTACTCGCATCCAGCAAATGTTGGTCCTTCCCCAGTTCTTTAAGAACGAAAGCTTATTAAGTCAAAGATCAACTGATGGCTTAAAAAAGCAAAACAAAAGAAAAACCTTAAATGGTAATACAGACAACACATCTTAAAAGAACTTAATGTTATAAAGTAGCAGATAGGATCATGAAAATGAAAAACAGATACTGAAAACATTTTTAAATGGCTCATCCTTCATGGTCATGTACAACCTTCATGTTTTGTGAAAATTGTCTTTAGGAATGAATGAGCTTTGACAAGATATAGGCCAAATGCAAACTAATTCCATTTGGAAGTAAAACCCTGCAATGCTTTTCTGTAGCATAAAACCTCCACCACTGTCTATACTTCAAGCTTTCATCAATTTCAGTTTCCAAACAAACCAGTAACAAAACTATAAAGTTAATTTTTTCATTAGAATTGTTAAGTAACAGGAGTTCAATAAATCATTTGCCTTCTAAGGAAAAAATATTACTTTTTAACACATAATATTTATTTTGGTTCTAAGAAAATGAAGCTTATTTATTTACAAACTGAAAACTGTATAGTGAAATCTTTTTATGGCTCAAAAATGAAATATTTAAGAAATAAAGGTATGGAAAGAACAAGGCTTTGTCTAAGAGGTCTTGAGATCAAATATCAGTGGTGCCATTTACCATATGACTTTCATGAAATTACCTAACTTCTGAGGTACTTAATTTCTCATAAGGTTCTTTTCTGCTCTAAAAATGATGAAATTATTTATGATATCTGATAGAGTCTTCAATGTCCCCATACATATGTATGTATACACACACATACATATACATACATACATACATGTACCTTTATTAAATAACACAAAGTTATAGTAACTTAAGACACATTAAGAAACAAAGAATGAGAGTGAGAATTAGTGTATGTGTGTGGGGGGTAGTGTTCTGACCCCACATATCATTCCCAGTATTTAGGGCATTTACACAGCCTGGAGACACCTGAATTAACCAAGTAAGCCTTTAAACCCTTACAATCAAACATTAAAATTCAATGTGGCTATAATCTCTTCCTTACAAAACATGGGACCCAAAGAGTCTGGCTTCAAGTATGGTTTTAAAAAAAGGTGGAGGGGGGAATCTATTATATTCACCACCCAGCTCTTCCATACGACCACATTAAAAAGGAAAAAAAAAACATAAATGAAAACTCACAGGCCCATTGTAATACATTGTACCACTTCTGAATGCAACACTTAGCTCAGGCTTACTACCCTGACAAATAAAGGAAAGCACTTTATGAAGCCAATTTAATTGGGAGGTGACAGAAAACATACAGCCATTTTCTTTAGCCTTATCATTGAATTGGCTTCAGCTCCAATCTCTGGCAAATCCCACTCAACAGAAGAAATTAACCAGGTCAGCAGAACAGGTGCTACCTTGTGTCTGTCAAGGGCCTGGCATCACCACAATTACTTGCACACAATGAAGCAGTAATCTTTACAGATCATCTCTCCCAAGAAGTATATTGGGGAGGGGAAGGAAAGCTGAAGGGAGCGGGGAGTAGGAAGAAGAAGGGGAATAGGAAGCAAAGAGAAAAGGCAAGAAAAGAAAATGAATGTGCAGCTGCCTTGCAGCTCAGCAGATGTCGGGATGTGATGTACGAGGCTAGGATAAGCTGTCGTAGCCTGCTGCCAAAGAGGGGTAAATGATTAAAGCCTGCACAGTTCTAAGCACCATATTTAGAATCTGCGGGGTTTCAGGACTTGCACCCATTCCTTGCTGTGCTGCCAGATGTTGGCAACTGGTCCAGTTCCTACTGACTGTGCATGGATGGCAGCAGTTGGTACAGCAGCAAAGCAATCTGGAATGCTTCCGGAGATGCTGTACATTAACAAGTGTCACCCATCATTCACCTTTACAGAAGGCTGAAACAACTCCAATTTGCTGCCACTTCCCTCTTGGGAAACAGCCAAAATAAAGTTGCGCCTGGCAGCCCCATTTGTTTCACTCAGGTGTTTCAGCTGCCTTGCTGACCTCTATTAGTTTAAGTTTTAATTTAGATTAACCCCAGCACCCCAATTAACCAGCAAGGGGAAAAGCTAAGATGTGACTAGTCATAACTCTGAAATCAGAATTTATCGAAGTTAAAATTATTAATTGGGATGAAGGGCCAATCAAGTATGGCTATTTCTTTTTAAACAGAGCTCCAGGCAAAAAAAAGAAAAAAAAAAATCTTTCAGACTAAGGATTGCCAATAGAAATAACTTCTTCCCAGTAATTTCAGTTTATTTTATTAAGCATATTTAATTTATGATACACTTTCCATCGAACAATGTACACTTCAGTTAATGAGGACTGGAACATTTTTGATTGTCTCCCATGATCTCACACAATTATACAGCATTAATATCCCACATCAGGTACTTCCTTAGACACTCCAGAACAAAACAGAGTTCTCTACTCTTCTGACAAATGGATATAATAAGAGAAGAAAAGGAAAAAAGAATCAGGACCTTTGACAAGGAATAGCTGAGACCACACCAATCCTCTTTCCTATACCCTCTCATCATTACTTTTTTTTTTAATCATTACTTTAAAGACTCATATATGGCAATAATTTTATCAAACATTATAGAATGAATAAAAAAATTAATAGGAGGTCTCTCTTTTTAGGGCAAAACCCCAATACAGAATCATTTATTCTGGCTTTACATGTAATTTTACTAAGAAGTTCCTTTCTTCATATCCATGGCATAGTACAGCCATCACTGTTAATCCTTCAACAAGCAGTTGCAAATTCTTTGGCAAAAGTTAACACACTAAAAATTCTACAGAGAAAAACAGTATCTTGATAAACAATGGCTCATGTAAAACTGGTGTATCACTGCTGAACAGCATGGCATCCTCGATTCACCACTAAGCTAGAATGGGTACAGCCTAAAGCATATTTCATTAAGAAATATAACTTATCAAGAGACCCAGGAATACAGGAAGTTATTTTAGTTCTTTAGAATAGCCCAAATGTTTAGCCTACATTAACAGTCTCTGGCATCATTAAAAAGAGCGGCATGTCAGCAGATAGTAATGTCAGGAAGAGAACTGGGGATGTTTGTGAAGACATACTGAGAACTGGACCATATTTCAAATTCTACCAATTCCTTCTGTCTTCAAAGCACTATACTGTTATTATAATCAACAGTAGCATACACTCTCAGTACATACTTAACTGACTGAAGAGGCACAAAAAGACATTAAAAACAAAAGGCTTAATAATAATAGAACCAGAAGTGCAATTCAAGAACTCTGGGATTCCAGACTTCCAGCTCCATGTCCCACTCTAATAGTAATGGGACAAGAAACTTAACAACCTACAAAAAGCCCTCCATTATCAAAAACAGCTGTACAAACCACCTAACTCAAAGAATCTGAAATTGTTTTACAGATAATTTATACTGAAGCAACAACCAACAAAGTAGCCTAGTAGCTGCTTTCATTTCAAAAGGAAAGCATATGACAGAAGAAAAGCAACAAATCCTGAATGATGCAGTAAGTTAATTTTGAATGTACAAGTTCTAACTCACTGTCTGACTCTTATCCTTCCAAAATAAGCTACCTTTGTTGTTTAGAGAATTTTATCAGTTGTTTTAAAATACTAAAACCTGATTTGTAACAAAGAGTATTAAAAAAAAAAAAATCACACCTGGTGGTAAAAGTCATCATCATCAAAGATTTCTTCATCCAAGTCCTTCAGATGAGCATTGGCAGGGGCTTGAGGAAGGACCTCCTGTATCAGCAAGTAGTAAGAAAAGAGAGAATCCCAATGAGGTTATCAAAGAAACATAGCTACTGCAAATAATACGTGTAACAGTCAAAGCACTGTTTTCCTTAAGATATAAAAAGCTCTTAAAATTAAAGAACAAAACAGTCCAATAGAAAAATAGGCAAAAATGTTAACAGTGGCCCCCAAAAAACAAAAACCCACAAATAATCATATGAAAATGTTTAACCTAACTCTAATAAAACACAACATGCAAATTAAAATGAGAAGATAGCATTTTTCACCTCTAAGACTGGTAACACAGTACTGGAGAACACAGCTGGAGGGAATGGAAATTAATGTGGCCTTTTTAGAGGCAATCTGGCAACACCTATCAGGACTTAATGTATTTTCTTTAACATTTACACATCAAGAAATCTATCCATATGTTCACAAAAATGCACAACTTGTAGCACTGTTTCTAAAACTAAAAACATAAATATCCATTGTTTGAATAAATTATAGTACATATCCATATCATCCAAAAATGAAATAGATCTCTATGTAATGATATGGAAAAAGTGTTTAGGATACATTACATTTAAAAGTTGTGAGATTTTTTGGCTGGGAATGGTGGCTCATGCTTGTAATCCTAGCACTCTGGTAGGCTGAGGAAGGAGGATTGCTTGAAGTCAGGAGTTGAAACCACCCTGAGCAAGAACAAGACCCTGTAGACCCTGTCTCTACAAAAAATGGAAAACTTAGCTAGATGTTGCGGCATGCACCTGCAGTCCCAGCTACCGAGGGGGCTGAGGCAGAAGGATCACTTGATCCCAGAAGTCTCAGGTTGCAGTGAACTACAATGACACCACTGTACTCTAGCCAGGGTAACAGAGCAAGACTCTATCTCAACAAAAAATAAAAATAAAAAAATAAAAGGTGTGAGTTTTTTATATATAGTTGCAGTATTTTATATATTTATACACATGTTTATCCCATTTAGTAAAAAGATAATCATATTTATGTATCTATAGATATATGAATTAAAAAGACCCAAATGTGACTGCAAGTTAGCGCAACCCCTATGGAAAAGAATTTGAAGATACCTCAAACAGCTACAAGTAGAACTACAATTGATCCAGCAATAGAACTATTAGGCATCTACCCAAAGGAACAAAAGTCATTCTATAATAAAGACATCTGCACTCGAATGTTTATGGCAGCACAATTCACTATAGCAAGGATGTGAAAACAACCTAAGTGTCTGTCAATCCATGAGTGGATTAATAAAATATGGTATATGTATACAATGGAATACAACTCAATTATAAAAAACGACGGTGATCTAGCACCTCTTATATTTTATATATATTCCTGGGTAGAGCTTGAGCCCATTCTCCAAAGTGAGGTATCACAAGAATGGAAGAGTAGGCACCACATGTACTTGCCATCAAACTGGCACTGACTGACTAACACTAAGGGGCTCACACAGTAGTAATATTATTTAGGGGTAGAGGGTTGAGTATGGATAAACTAATGGACACAGTGAGTGTTGTAGGGGGGGAAGGGCACTTCTCAAATCATGGTTGGGATTTGGAAAAGTCATAACATGTATCCAAAATGTCTATAATTTCCTGGGGAAAAAAAAAAGACCCAAATACTTGAACCTTGTTACAACATTTTTTTTTTTTTAAAGAGACAGGTTCTCATTCTGTTACCCAGGCTGGAATGTAGTGGTGCAATCACAGCTCACTGTAACCTCGAACTCCTGGGCTCAAGTGATCCTGCCCGCTCAGCCTCCCAAGTAGCTGGGATTAGAGGTGCATGTCACCACACCCATCTAATTCTTTATTTTTTTTAATAGAGCCTGAGTCTGGAGTCTGGCTATGTTGCCCACAGGTCTCAAACTCCTAGCCTCAAGCAATCCTCCTGCTTCAGCCTCTCAAAGGGATAGAATTATGGGTGTGAGCTAGTGTACCTGGTCTTGTTACAACTATTAATATTAACATGGTTAAATCTGAGGAGTTGAATTTTTTGAATAGGGGGAAATTTTTCATTTTCATTTTTTACAAACTTAGAAGTATTAAGTATACATTTCTCCTATAATTAAAAAATTCAAATGTTTCCTTTAAACAAAATAATTTGAATATTCCACTTTTGGGTCCTTTTCTAGAATACCTAAATGGCAAACATTAAGCCTAAAAGTATATACTTGCTTCAATACTGACATTTCCATAGAAATAGCTTTAAAAGTTAATTTTAAAAATTAGATTCACAATGCTTCCATTACCAGAATCCTGTATCAAACTCAAAATTAAGAGAAGATAACATACAAAAGTTAATAGTAGCCCCATTTATAAAAACTTCCCCCTGCCACATACTCTCAGTTTTTCAACAGTCTAGTAAAATAGTGCTGTTTTCCTTTCTTTCAGTAACATCTACATAATACCTACAAGTTTTTCAGTTAATTAGCCTCATAGAAACTTTTCCCCATAATCATCCTGCATCACAGAGTTCTTACCGGTTCTCCTGGCAAGCTTTCTGGGACAGGCTGGGCTGCTGGTTCAGGTTTGCCAAGAACTCGGTAGATAGAGCGTTTGGTCTGTGTCCTTCGAAGTAATCTTTCTTTGTCCATTAGAATATGATCAATCTGAGTCAAGATTGAGCGTTCAAAGGCACCAAAACCCTGCGATAACATTAACCAGTATAAGATAATGCAGAAAATTTGTGCTAAAGGCAGCTACATTGGTTTCTCTATCTTTCTGTGTCAGCAGAGAAATAGACAATCGTCTTTTCAGAAGAGATCTTATGTTAAGGACTGAGTTTGTGAATGGCTATCATTGTTCTCAGGGAAAAAAAAATTAGCCTCAAGCAGGTCATATCACCTTTTTACGCCCAGAGATTAACTTCTGCTACTTTAATAATTATTGTTTTAAAATCAATTTCTTTAAAGTATTTTGTATTCTCAGCATTTGAAAACTACAAGGCTTCAATTTAAAAATAAAACATTCTTTCTAATAACGTTAAAATCCCAAATCTGAATGGTATTATATAAAACCCAGTGGTATGGAAACAGCCCAAGTGCCCATCAATCCAAGAATGGATTAATAAAATGTATACCATGGAGTACTATTCAGCTCTAAGAAACAATGGTGATATAGCACATCTTATATTTTCCTGGTTAGAGCTGAACCTCATACTACTAGTGAAGTATCCCAAGATGAGAAACAAGCACCAGATATATTCTCCAACAAACTGGTATTAACTGAGTAGCACCTAAGTGGACACATAGGTACTACAGTAATAGGGTATTGGGCAGGGGGGAGGGGGAGGGGGCGGTTATATACATACATAATGAGTGAGATGTGCACCATCGGGGATGGTCATGATGGAGACTCAGACTTTTGGGGGGAGGGGGGGAAATGGGCATTTATTGAAACCTTAAAATCTATACCCCCACAACATGCCGAAATAAAAAAAAAAAATGGGAAGAAAAAAAAAAAAAAAAAACCAGTGGCAGAAGTTCACTACATTTTGCTACACAAATGACTGATTACTATTACTGTGTGACAACACCCATACAAACAAGCTGTAGTTACAATGCTTTTAGGTCCACACAACCTATTCTTACACACACACACATACGCACGCACACACACTTGCCTTCCCCAGTTTCCCAGAAGCCAGCTTGGTTTTATCATGCCACTTCTGAAGTGTGCGGTTCCTGTAGGCTGTAAAGTCAGCAAAACGCTTTGCCATGAAGCTCGGGTATTCATCCATCTCCAGCTTCCTCTTTCGCAGGACCCTTCTCTGCCGCTGCTTCTCTTCTACTGGCTCATCATCCTCACTAGAAATCTCTTCACTAGAAAACCAGTAAGAACACTAAGTCCGGTGTAAATAAACATTAAATAAATTAGGTTCACATGAAGTAGAGAATGTTTACATCTTACTTGTTCTATCTACCTTTAAAATATCACCAAAGATGGCTTCTTTTTTGTTTGAAAAGAATGTTCATGAGATCAATCAAAACTCATGTAACTTTTCAAATAAATGTAAAAATAACTGGTTTCAAAACATTTTTTAAAAGGTAAGCAAGCCATAAAAATAAATGATGTTAGAAACGCGTAGGAACCAGGCCAATCCTATTACACGAGGGTCTTTAAAAATTAAACATATAATCATATTTCTATGACCTTAATCCTCAAATCAATAATGGAAACAGTCTCTCTGTAACCAACTTTTCAGGAAAGATGAATAATATTAGTTGAACCAAACAGAAGACAAGTGGAATGTGAAGAAAACTTAAAGGGGTAGGCAAAAGAAACAGCACTAAGCTGTGATGCTGAATATGTAACTGCCATGAGAATGTAATACAACTTCCAACTATATAGCCAATCACACTCAATAGATTACTGACTCCCAACGCATAATAGGTGCTCAATAAATGTGAGCTTCCTTTTTATCCTTCCAATTAGTTCAGTCCAAAAAAATGAAACAAAGGACAAGCCCAAGGGAAAAAAGCAAGCAGGTACCACATACAGCAGGTGCGAACAAAGGGAAGAAAAAGCCTTTATCAAATAATTTCAGAAAAGAAAAAGAGCTATTTTGCTGTTGTTTTCTGAAATTTTTCCATCTTTCAAAATAACAGCTTCTTCCCTTATTGAAAAGGAGACGGTTGTGACCAGTGATTCCATGGTATGGACACAAAGTGTTTCATAAACATTAATTTCATAAAAATGTGCTTTTATCTGCTAATCCAATAGATCTAAAGAGAAGCCAAGTCTTTTGCCTAAGCCCACAAAGTGAACTAGGTACAACTAAATATAAAAATCCAAAATCTAATTCCAAATTTATGTGCCATTCTGACTATGAGTTAAATATAAGGGGCTCTTTCTATTTTACTAATATTAAGCCTGGAATCCACCTGAGAAGAACTTTGGCTTTCTCTTTCATAAATGTTAAGAAAATATTCAAAATGAAAAGAAATAAACAACTCCATAGTTCCATTCCCTCCTTACCTTCCTGCTTTGGGCAGCTTTGTCCCATCTACTAGATATCTAGTGTCTGGATACTGGAAAAGCAACTCTTCCTGAAGATCTACCAATGACCTCAACAATGCTTTAAGTGCCTTGTGACCTGGGAAATAAAGCACAGAGAAAGGACAATTAGTTATCTACAATTCTCTAAAGCAGGCGATGTCTATAACTCATGACTCCTGAGCAGTTCTGGCTGGTGCGGATAAAAGTGGGAAGTGCAGGATACCAGGGGGACTGAAAAACTCTCTGAAACATGGAATTCCCAAATGGAAATAACAACAGTGGCTACCTCATAGGATTGTTGTGAGGAACAAGTAAGATCATATGTTTAAGAGCTTAAAAAAGTGCAAACAGTGAAAGTTCAATAAATTGTCAGTTCTTAAATGCATTAGGTGTGACAAACTCCTTTATAACTATTAACTTGTTCTGTTGGTGTTAAATTTTGGGGGTATTGTCCTATAGGTTACCCACTGACCTCCTGGATTATCCCTGTTATCAATCAGCTGCTTAAGCAATTCCTCTTCTCTGAAAGAGCACAACTGAGTCCCAGGATCCTTGCCACCACACCTCCCCCCTCCCAGGAGAGCTCATCTGCCTCTAGTTTGAGCTGCCACACCGTTCACCCAATCTCTCAGCACATATTCTTATGGAAAGTTCCTGTTCACGTATGAAAACGCACGTTAATGGCTTTTTATTTGCAGTCCTGAATTGTATATTAAAAATTTGTACATCTTGGGAATGATCATATGTAAAAACGAAAATTAAAAAAAAAACCATAATATGCTGAAATTAAAAAAAAAATGGAAAAATAAATAAATAAATAAAATCAAGGAAAAAAAATTTAAAAAATTGCACATCAAGAACACACATGTGTATAACATATCTGCTCAAGATTAAGTATACAGTCCATGGCTAAAAACTTTCAGAATAAAACCTGGTTCTTCTGAGAACTGAACTCTTACCTTCTCTATAAGAATAATCCTATTAGAGAGGCTAACTAGACACTGATAATCACCATTTATGTGTTGAAAGCACTCCAGACACCTTCCGAATACCAAACTTTCACATTTCTAGCAACTGCCAGAAAATCTTCACATGGATGCTCCATCACTAATTCAAACATACCATGTCAGAAACAGAACTTTTCCTTCTTTTGTAATTCTTCTCCCTTGTCTGAATTTCTCTGCTGTTTAATATGTTTTCACAAGAGATCACTGACATTTGGTGCTCTTATTCTATACATCTGATTGGTTGCTAAATCCTGTATTTTCCATTGTAGTATCACTAATAATTGTCCATTTATCTCTGGCCATGCTTCTACCACTCCTTCCCTCTTTCCGTTACATAACTGTAATCTTCTCACAAGCATTTCTATTTCCATTCAGCTACCCCTACATTCATTTTCATTTTACCTTCCATACAAACTTCAGCCCACACAAATTTTCGGTTAAATGATTTTTGTAAGTCTTATTTTATCTGTCTTTTCTGCTTCTGCCTCTACCTGCCCAGCATGAGCAGCCTTCTCACTATTTTACATCCCAACCTGTTTCATCAATGGGATACCAACCCATGAGTTAGACAAGTTCTCCATACATTTTATACTACAGTGTTCTATTTCAATACATACAAGGTGAAGAACTAACCTACCTGAGAAGGCCTTCTCAGACTGGTCAGAAGGAACTCAATGATCCAACAACTACTCTGCATTCTTTCAAATAATCTCTATATAAAACTATATAAATATAACTTCCTTATTTAAAATAAGATCCTTGATCACATCTTTTCTAAATTCTATACTCTAATCCTTTTATAATCAATGCATATCATGCCATCGGGAGGATTTGTAATATATAAATATTACCTGAAAAAAAACAAAATACCTTGTGTTCCAAACCAAGGTTCTCAATTTGTTGCTCTCAATCTTAAGAAAAAGAAGAAAACCCAAAACTTTTCACCAAATATGGAGATAAAATTGTATTCTCATAAGAAAAAAGTCAATACAGAATTATTCCTCTGTCAGCTTTTGGGAAATGGATTACGTTAAGATGAAAAGTAAGCAAAAAAAAAAAAAAAGAATAAAGACAATTTTAAAGGCAAGAATTATTCAGTCTAAATGTGCTAAGTGTATAAGTAGAACAATGCAAAATTATGTAAACACATGGAAAACTTTTAAAGAAATGAGGAAAGCAAAGAATACAGATAATTACAGATACTGTTACTACAAATGATCATCTGTTAAAAGAGCTGAGAATTGTAAACAGATATCCCATAGTAGCTAAGGCTATGAAAGTGTATGTTGTAGCAAGAAAATAGGAAAGACACTAATACCTGGAAGGGAGCCCATGAAAATACAGAAATCTCATCTCATTCAAATTCTATGTTAAGTATTACTCAGTTTTTACCTTCTTTTTCTAGAAATGGCTATATCTTAAGAGACAGATCCTATGTTTTCCAAAGTGAACCACAGATCAATTTCACATTTGCAAAGTAGCTTTAAAAATTTTCCCATACCGAACCTGGAAAGTATTAGGATAAGTGAAATAAGCCAGTTAGAGAAGGGAAAATATTCTGTAATTCCACCTATATATGAAGTAGTTAAAACAAATTCATAGACAAAGAAAGTAGAACAGTGGTTAGTTCCCAGAGGATGGGAAGAAGGGGAATGGGAACTTACTGTTTAATGGGTACAGAGTTTCAGTTTGGGATGATGAAAAAGTTCTGGAGGTAGACAGTGGTAATGGTTAACCTAATAGTGTAAATGTCCTTAATGACAATGAACTATATACACTTAAAATGGTTAAAATGGTAAGCTTTGTGTCATGTATATTTTATCATAATTTTAAAGTAATATTTTTTAAAAATCCCAAGACCAGAGTACAATAAAAAAAATCCTACTATCCCAGCCATCTCTGTATAGAAAAACATCATCTATAATCCTTCAAACTCATCCTATTAAAGAAGAGGGAAAAAAAAAAGGTATATTATTCAGACTTTATTATGCTGAGTAAAATAAGCTAATTAGAAAAAGAGAAATACTGTATGATTCCACTTATATGAAGTCCAAATCACAGAGCAGGAAGCAGAATGGTGGTTACCAGGAACTAAAGAGAGAGGAAAATGGGAGGTATTGCTTAATGGGTATAGAGTTTCAGTTTTGTAAATAAAAAGGTATGCAGATTAGTTGCACAACAATGTGAATATACTTAACACTACTAAACTGTACACGTAAAAATGTTTAAGATGGTAAATTTTGCTACATACTTTTTACCACAATAAAAAAGTAAAATAAATAAGAAGAGCAATGTGCCTGTTCCTTACTTCCTCTAGGTACCACGTGTCCATGATCTAAAATATAAAATCAAGAATCACACAGGGAATAAGCTGCAAAGCAGTCTATAACGTTTATAGCTGCTTGCCCCCAACAAGCAAGTCATAATTTGACTCTAACATGTAACATAACTGAGAATTGTGAAAACATCCAATGAAAGACTACAACTTTAAAGGGCCACTTTCAAGTAGCTACACAAGCCCTTTTATTTTGTTCAAGTCAGTTTTAAAAAAATCCATTGCAGATATATTAGACAGCATATCAATCCAACGAGAAAGCGGAGAGCCAATATCAGTAAATCAAAGTGTGCCTTTCTGTTAATACTCTCTCATATGTTCTCATTTTATACACCCCTTCACCCAGTCAGAAAGTAGCCCTGAAGTATTTAGGCTCCATTCAGGGATAGCACTACCATGCATCAAAGTGTCAAGAGACCTACCAGAGATGAAATCTGCAATTCTGGGCTTCTAACCACCAAAAGCGAATGTCACCAGTGCCCCCAACACACGGACAACTTTCTATAAAGAGTTTTAGAAGACAGAACCTAATTCTCATTTCTTTGTAACTGTTACATAACTTTGTAACTTCTAGATGATATGTAAAACCTGAGATAATGGGGTAATCCTTAGCTGAAGGTAGTAGGCCTCCTCAAAGCCAGAGCTGACAAGAATGAGGAAAGACTCTCTTCTGGAGGCTCAAATTCAACAGAGAATTCTTCCCAGTCAAAACAAGCAAACAAACAAACAAACAAACCACAAACCCTCTTTATTATTCATATAGGCTGGAATTCTATTTGTTCAGCCCTATGAATAATAAATAGAAGAAATCAACAGTTTCCAATTCACCTCTAATTTTTCTCCCAATTATTGTTTACAGTCAAAAGTTAACAAATGCAGCAAAGATGCATATACTTTCGTCTCTCTCCCTGTTGGCACGTGGCCACAAAACAAATGGAGACTATCAAGGATGTATATGTTTATTTTGCCTTACATGGTCCATTTCCAGAGGCCTTTCCCTTAAGAGGAGATTAAGAAGGACATATGCCTCACCATATTACTGAGATTCAACCTAAGCATCTGGTCACCAGCTTTAGGAATAATTCTGAGCAAAAAATAAATGGAAAGAGTACTTTACTGAGTGTTAGGAGCCCTTTATTTTAACTGACACTATCACTGACTAGTCATGTTACACTGAGAAGACCAATTTAACCTGAGTCTCAATTTTCTCATTTATAAAACGTATATAATCCTTTGCCTGTTGATCTCATGGAACTAAGGTAAAAATAGTAACTGTGTTATTACATATTAAGCTATTTTGGAAATTAAAAATGTAAAAATAGAAGGCATATGACTGTCAAAAATCATCATCGTTTACCAGCCTAAGCAACATAGGGAGACCCAGTCTTTACAAAAAATAGAAAAATTATCTGGGTGTGGTGGCACACGCCTGTGGTCCCAGCTATTCGTGAGGCTGAGGCAAGGAGATCACTTAAGCCCAGGAGTTTGAGTTTGCAGCAAGCTACGATGATGCCACTACACAGGAGATAAACTCTACACAGGAGATAAAGTAAGACCCTGTCTCAAAAAAAAAAAAAAAAAAAAATTCTCTTTCACATGATGAAAATCTTTTATACTCTGCTTATACCAATCTCCAGTGCTAGGATTGGACCGTATTCACAGACTCCTATATTGGTTATTCATTTACATGCTATCCATATGCAAGCATTGTATATATAAAATGTCACCAATCTAAAAACCATTTTCACCTAACAG